AACACACACACACACACACACACATCATACACACATACAAACACACACACGCACACACACACACAAACACACACACACAAACACACACACACAAACACACACAAACACACACACACACACACACACACACACACACACACATCATACACACACACAAACACACACACGCACACACACACTGCTTCCAGCTTCCAACACATAGTGCTGTATTTTTGTGTTTGTTGTTGTTTTTATTTTTGTTATTTTTGTTTTGTTTTGTTTGTTAGAATCTATTGTGTTGTTGTTTTGTTGTTGTTGTTGTTGTTGTTGTTGTTGTTGTTATTGTTTTGTTAGTTAGTTAGTTAGTTAGTTTGTTTGTTTGTTTGTTTGTTTGTTTTGATCCCGAGTCTTTATTTTCAGATATCGGGTTAATGATTTTATTTGTATCAGACAATCATTGACTAGATCTATTTGAACGTGAGTAAATTACATGTAGTACAATGATACTTTAACACGTAAAAGAATCAATCAATAAGAAAATATGAATATCAGTGAAGATATTAAACTAATTATTATAATTCTATTATTCAATTAACTGCTTTTCTAGTTTCTGTCGCATATTCTAGTTGTATGCTGTCATGGGGACGGAGGGGGCACACACACCCGGGGTGGAAAGGAGGAGGGGAGTTTAGGGCTGGGCAGAGTACTGGAACTCCCTGTACTCCTACCGTAGCCGGTGTCGGTACTCGGCACCAGGCAATGATCAGTACCGGTACTCGGCACCAGGCAATGATCAGTACCGGTACTCGGCACCAGGCCACCAGAACCGGTACTGGGAAGGTGCCGACACCAAGTCGTGGTACCGGTTGTGGGAAGGTGTCAGGACGGGGGGGGGGGGGGGGCACGCACATCCCAACCTACCCAAAGAGATGGGCAACATGTTGGCCCAAGATGGGCTTGCATCTGGGCACCATCTGGTATGGCAGCCCTGCGCCACGCACGGGGCTTTCGAACATGGGCGATGAAAAGGGCCCATAAGACAGTGTCCGCCCGTGCCCAGCCCTTGCCTTGCCCAGATGCAGCCCACTCTCATTGCACACACAGAGAGGTCAGATTTTGAAGCTACAACACGACGTATTTATTGTTTCCAGTTCACACAGTCGCGAATGCGCCTTTATAAGACGTTCCGTGATTGGGAACCAAGCGATGGGGTCCCAGACACCCCCAGTATGTTGACCACAGTCCAGGAGCTGTTCGATAATAAAGCAAGGCCCGGCGCTACGAAAATATTAATTGTGCTAAATGACCAGGTCTTCGGAAGTCGAGGTAAGACAAGAACATTGGCAGTCATAATATATCATTATTTGTTGGCTGTTTTTAAAAAATGTTTCTTTGTTTTAGGTATCATGTCTGTGAGTTTGGATTAGGTTATTCCCTGAAGAAAAAAAATATACATGTATATTATATCTATCTATCTATCTATCTATCTATCTATCTATCTATCTATCTATCTATCTATCTATCTATTTACAGTGGAGTTCATTTAAGCAGAAGACGATTAATCCGAAAACAGCGGTAAACCAAAAGAGAATATAATTTTTATTTAGAGACAGTGCTGTAAGGGAACTCCACTATCTATTATATTTTTTACTTTATTTTGAAATGTCAAGAAAACGACTTGATAGGAAAGACCTAAAACCTGATAGATTTTATTTGAGGTCTTGTTTTTTTGTTTTTTTTCCCTTGCCCATTTATATGAGATTGACGTCATTTGATTAGTAGAAAAAAATGCATACGATAGTGTCCAATAGTGTATTACGTGCATACTTAGTATATCAATTAACTGTAAAGCGGATAGAGATTCCAGGATTATATATATATGTAAGTCATTGATCTGAGAGAGGTGAGGATTTTAGAATTAATAGTGGTGATGAGTGATGATGAGGGATTGCGTTTAAGTAATGTTAGCGTTAGTCCTATCTTCCTCTGCTCCAATGAGTCACGAGGGACGTGGGCACCCTCTATCCCGTTCCCTGCTGGAACCATCTTTACGGTCACCATGAAGTTCCGAAATGGTGGACTCAGTCTCTGCTAAGGTGACATCGTTAGTGTTGAGGTCTTGTTTTAATAAAAGTTTCACGGCACGTGCAACACAAACAGGTAATAGTCTAATATTAGTGCCGAAAAGTAGACGTGTTACCTGAGAGTAACATTCAAAGAAAAGACGTGGGAGATATAATATGAATGTTACATGTTTAACGGGGGGGGGGGGGGGGGGGGGAAGAAGCAAACCGCACTTGAGCACCTGCCAACCACCCACAGATAGATTGTATACGGTACATGATCTGTAACACCACACACCGTAAACATATACAGTCGAACCTGCCCTGAGGGTCACCTCTATAAGACGGCCACCTGTACAAACGGACACTTTCCATTTCCCTCCTTGCGTTTTTTCTTTATAATTTAACTGTGTAAAACGGGCACCTGTCCAACGCAGCCGCGGCCACTATATTTCAACACACAACCCCTATCAAACAAAGCAATAACACCTGTCTTAGACGGCCACCTTAGTGACTCCATTACGCTTTGTCATAAATCAAGCACTGCCCCCTGGCGTTGCGGGCGAGCCGTCATAATCCAAAAACCTGTCGTTGTTAGGTAGTCCCTCCAGCTGATCATGTTGCGCAGGCCCCTCCTACTGTTGACCAATAGGTAACAAAATTAATTTTCAGCTGCTGGGGAGGGAAGCGTGTGATCCCTCATAACCCATAAGCCCCGCCCAGAACCCATACACAAATTGCAAGTGAGATAAGTGGTCACTGACTGTTTACCCAGTCTGTAACAAAGTAACAATGGACGTCAGCATGAACTTGTGACAGAAGCGTCGCTCATTCTCTGAGTGGTAGTACGTGTGTTTGTTTGACCATAGCACTTGATCCTCCTTGTCTGACACATTTCGTTTTATTGTCACCCGTGCACAAAAGCAGCAACAAAAGA